ATCAGTTGAGGTGGCGGATAAAGGTTGGTTCTTCGATCGTGCTGTGGTAAACTTTAAGGTGCGGTGCGGGCGGGGCGCAGGGAGTTGTGGGGGGGGGGGCGGTGTTTCTCGTTGGCAGCAAAAGGTGCGTGGGAGGCGGGCCGGGGCGCGGGATTTCATTTGGCGGCGGAGGCGCAACGAGCACAGCCTCTTCGAGAGATGAGGTAGCCCTCGTACAAGCCCTGTGGCGGGGGAGCGGGCATGGTGCCGCGCCACTGGCGGAGGCATCGGGATGAGGAGGTATTTGCGGGCACGGCAGGTGGCTTGTTTGAAGATTAAAGAAGTGCTCACGTTGCGCGGTCGGTCCCTCGCTTGCACGGACATCGCCCCTTGTGAGAAGGGCCAATGAGGGGGAGGAAGTAGATTAAGGGAAATAATCTGCGGGCCACGAGGCTTGTCCTTGCAATCTCGGACGCGAGAGAACAGTCACTAGCTCGGATACAGCATTACTGTCCACTCTCTCGAGCCAGGCTGTAAGCTGTACATCGTGTAATGCGCTGAGGCTGTCTCCGTTGTTGCTTCGCCAGACGGTGCCAGTGGCGTGAAAAACGGCCACTTCCTGCATCGCATTTAGGTCCGGTCGGACAAATAGGCTGCGAGTGCTTGGGGCAAGTCGCACACCTGAGATAATATCTGCCATGCAACCCGAGAGGTCCATCCGCCTCGAGGTATTTGCTTGCCTCCAAGGTGCGTGCCGCTTGTGCTTGCGTCCGGATGGAAGCAAGTCTGCTTGAAGTGCACCAGTGAACAAAGGCGGCGGGGCGGCCCCAGTTAATCTCTAGTAAATCTGAATTTGTCTTTACGCTGACCATCTACTCTAGTACGTGATGAGACAAGGGCTTTCGCAGAGCACGAATACATCGCTCGCCGCCCGTCACCGCTTCAATTATATCAATTAGTACAACTTACAACTTTTGTCCGCATGCCGACTAAGGTCACTGTCTAGTACATCACAACCTGCTTTCACCTTCTCGGCAAAACCTCAACTGCACGACATCCCCTACACCAATATCGAAACATCCATAGTCGGTAACTCCCTTGCTAGTGCAATTGAAACCAACTCACACCGTCACCGCCTATTCCTACCCGCTCCTTCACCTACTCCGAAAAATCTCATCATCATGTTACACATTCCATCCGCTAGGAACGATGTCTGCCACGAGTCCGGGTCCTTCTTAACCGCCAGCTCCCTCGTAAATGCGATGTCTGCCGAGTAGCGTCGTGTTCCAATTTTTGGGCTCAGCTTCCGCCGCCTTGACGACGAAGAGCCAGCTTTGTGCGTGCGCTTCCCGGGCTCAGGACGTCCACTTCTGGCCGGAGAAGAGGACGACTCAACCCCTTGTCGCTTATCGAACAGATGCGCAGGGGGCACCTGCAACGGATTTCCAGCTTCGGGAAACATCGGCGGTCGCTTCTTCACTTTCTCATTTCTCTTCGGTGGTCGAGACAGTACGGAGGGCTTCTGCATCCTCGGCGGTGACGATGACGATGAGCGGGTGCGGCGCACCCCCCTGTGACCCGCCGGCGCCCTTGGTGGGCTCGTCGGATGTGGATGACCAAACATTGGAAGCATACCCTTGAGAAAGATGCCGATATCTGGAAGTTCCGCGGCTGTGTATTCGGAGAAGGAGAGGTCCCGTATGCGCGGAGAAAGGTTTGCAGGGCGATGGCGCAGCGGGCCCGTCGGGCGAATTGCGGGGAAGGACCGTGGCCGCTCGAGTAAGTCGTGGAGTTCGGTGGAAGGGGAGGAGCGGATGCGACGGTTATGAGGGTCAGCAAGGAAGAAATCTTGCGAGGAGAATGACTCGCCGGAGCAGGAGGAGTTGCAATGGAAGGAGTCGGGATCGGCGGGTAGGGGGGATTCGAGGACGGAGAAGGAAGGAAGTTGGCGGCTCCAGTCGCCGCGACGACGCGGGCGGCGGGCGCGGATCATCGGGGCGACGGAAGGGAAGGGGCTGACGACGGATTTCGGGCGATTGGGGGTCGGAAGGCGGCGGGGTTTGGGGCGGGTGGGCCGCGACGGGGGAGACGGTGAAGGCTTAAAGGGATGTGGGGGGGGTTTTTGAATAAGGCCTGGTAAACGGGGGTGCGAGTTGGCGTAGGGGAGGGGGGTGATGGATGAAAAAAATAAAAAAAGTGGGCCGTGGCACTGTTTTGTCTGAGCGATGGAAGGGGATTGCGAATAATGAAGGCAACGGGGAATTAAAGCGAAAAGTACACTGGCGGGTGGAATTAAGGCGGCGACGCTGTGTGTTGATCGGCCGGCATGGACCGTAGGACCCGGCGCGTAGGTTAAATGAGGGAGTGCACCGCATTTCACAGCCTCCGGCACGCGCCACACAGCTGCTGAATGCAGTGAGCCGGGAATGGGGCGCTAGATCGCCGGACCACCAACCGGCGGGACCGGGCTTGAGCCTGTCCCCAACACCCAGAAGGTGGTGGAACAAGACGCCAAGCGGAGAAAGTGCCGGCGGAATATTCAAAATATATATTGTTGGCGGCGCATTACGAAACGAGTATCATACTAGACGAGGACCGCTGCCTTGCCTCCCCGGCCCCGAATCGGGGCAGGAGGCAGGGCAAATGGTTTTCCGTGATGCACGCAGAGTGGTGGCGGGCTGTTCTAACTGCGGCTTGTTGCGTAACGGACCAGTGGCGGAGGTTGACAGTGGCGTCCAGCAGCGGACGAGGCGTTGCAGATATGCCACGATAATGCGTACGGAGCGTGTACAAGCGGTCCCAGTGCCCAACGCTGCCCCTTCTCCCCTCGCCGAAGACAAAAAAAGGCAGGTCGAAACGGCGCATCGGGGCCAATCAGCGGGCGTCCGGGATGTCGCAACCGGTCCACCACAATTCTTCCCCCATGACCCAAACGGAGCACCAACGCGTGCTCCGTGCACGCGGGGGTATAAAATATACCCTCATGCGTCGTGACCGGTTGCCCGATTGACCCGGCCAATGCCTGTCGCTGCGCCATTTTTGATTCACTGTAAAGCGCATGGGCTTCAAACTGGTGCCGTTGCCGCAGGGGCCAGGCGCGGGGGACCAACCTGGGCGCACCACATGAAACCCGCCATCGCCCCCTCGCACCGACGTTGCGTATGAGCACGGGTTGCGGTCGCAATCTCGCATTCGCGCATCCATCCGCGCATTCGCGAGGCAGGCCGCTGTTCTGTGCCGTACTGAGTTTGTTGAGGCAGTGAGTCCAATCAGTGACCGAACTGTAGCTCCACGCCCACAATCTGCACTCACTCTCGATGCTATGGTGATGGCGGGATCTTGGAGAAAAGACGGAAACAAACTCGAGCTATGCGCACGTATCTAGTCCAGCGGGGGAAGGCGTGCGACTGAAGGAGTGAGGAATGCAGTGTAGTTTGGTCAATAGCCCGCAGACGTTGCTTTTTTTGATGACTGTATGCGCTCTGTACTCCCGGCAGGAAGTCAAGTGTCTATCCAACCGGGGCTTGTTTCGCATATGAGGACAGCTCTTTTTTATGCAAAATATATACATTAAATTGAACATTTTAAACGCTATCTTGGACACTATTTCCTAAAAGTGCTTGTTTTCTGCAATAGCATGTTGAAGAACCCCCGGATAACAGCTTTGAAGATGCCGAAAGATTCAGAATGTAAAGCAGATTGAGTACCAAGTTGCCTCTTTAACTGACTTTTTTGGTTTCAAAGTTGTTCTGCATGCGGTTTTACGGTGGTTTAAAAAAGCTTCATTTCTAGACATATTGTGTCTAAAAACGAAAAGGAAGAACACGCAGTTCTTACAAAGTTCTTTCCGGTCCCAAGGCAGAAGTCAAGTGTGGTGGCGGGTGTATCTTTTTTCTTCTTGTCGAGAAAGCGCACGTCAAGAAAAAAATATGTCGAATAACTAATATGAGAACAATGGTCCGATAGACACTAACAGTCCGTTAACTATTTTGGCAAACATAAACTATTTTGGCAACGCCTGCTTCCCCTTTTTGCCGCACTTTTCCGAAACCGAGTCACCCAGATCCGCCCCCGCCACTTGCTAACCTTGGTAGCTCTGTGACTGATTACAACCTGCGCGCCTTTTCTGTTTTTACCGCCATTCGAAAGCCCATTACTTTCGCTTGTCCGCCAAAAATCCAGGCTGTGCCATGCCATTACAACGTAATATGCTTTCCATATCGATCGATAGCCGCCCATCATCGCCATCCCGGAAAAGTGCGGCAAAAAAGGGAAGCAGTGCGTTGCCAAAATAGTTTATGTTTGCCAAAATAGTTAACGGACTGTTAGAATAAAGAGGTTTTTTCGGGCCACGGCCATTATTTGAGGTTGCCAAATTAGTTTCCATGCGATTCAGACTTGTAAAAGGGGTTCATTTAAGTGACTTCATTCCCTTGAATGAACACATGATGTGATTTCGTTACCATTGTAAAGCTATACAGTATGCGCGCTTTATGTGTTCATTGAGCTTTAAAAAGTCAAAATAGGTGAAGGACTTGGTAAGGTACTGCCTTTTCACCAGGCATGCCTAGAAAAAAAACGGTCACTTGCGACATTTTATCATGAACTGTTACCAACCGATGGCTAGCACTATTCATCGCATGCTTGTCAATGTGTTGCGTTTACCACTGGCAATATTACTGTGCAGGGTCCTTTTGTCTTCCCTGCAAGCTACACGTACGGCACGGCCGTTTCCGTACAAAGCGTTGCGGAGGCGGCGCTTGTGCCAGGGACGCACACAGCCATACACACTTATCATACCTGCGAATCCTTTTCGGCACGGAGAGCGAGAATTTCAGCGGGGGCGATGCATGAAGGGATTCTACACGTAGGTAAGCGACTTCTTTGGGACGGTGGAAAGAATTCACCCTCTCCAGATTCGCAGCGGAATGGATTATCCATTGGACAACCAAGTCCGTCCACGTCCATCCAACATCCATCCACGCCCCAAAATATCTCCACAAGGGCATTCCTCTGGGCCAATAGCGATGCACGCGGATCATCATATCCCAACGGCTATTTTTAACTCCAAGTCTAAATTGCTTTTTAGGACGCTCCGTTGCATGCGCTCGCGGGCCCTCTGCGCGGGAAAATTCTAACAGAAAACTCGCATTCCCAAACATTCATCCGCCCCCGACCCGACCCACTCTCCGGACCAATGGCACTCCCCGGCGACCCGCCGGTTTGGAACAGGATGGAACGGCCACACTTCCAGCATCGCTTCACAAATACTTCACCGCAAGCATGCATGCCCTGGTTCTTTTTCCCCACCCTCCCGCATTCCCAGACCTCCACGTTCCCGACTCCGACGCATGGGCTAACGGTACACCAATATTGAGGCTTCCATCTCCACCAAACTTAACCCCACCCCCTCGCCCGGCATTCAGTTGACGATATCTGGCTCGACGCTCCCTTACCTCTTGTCCGCAACGCAATCCATGTTTCTTCCGCTACCCTTCGCCTTCGCTCGCCTTAACTCGCCTTAGCTCGCCTCTGCGCATTTTAACTAAAACAATTTTAAACCCACACTTCCATCTCTCCTCCGTCGCTCCCGTAGCTGGGTCCCATCGCATATTCGTTTCCGAAATTCGCGCACTTCCCCACCTCTAGTTTTTTACGTGGTACTCTCTCAGCCCGCCGCATCTTCTGACAACAACTTTCCCCTTCGCCATGTTCAACTTTATGACCCCCCTCCTGCATGCATACAGTGCTGTGATTGTTTTTCACGCACCCGTGCAAGACTCGTTCCACACACGTCGCTTTGTACCGGTTCCCAATTTTTCTTGTACGGTACCAACCCAACACCAATCAGCAAGCGATGCGCCCCGCTCGTCGTACCGCCGTAAAGGACACCCTTATCCTTTTTTTAACTTTGGAGGCGGCAATGCTACTACTGTATGAGAAAGGTTGTTCCACTGCAGCCATTACGGTATTACCTCAGCACCCTCAGCGCCTCTCCACAGAGCCCTGTTTTGCAGCGTGGTGCCTTGTACAATGTCCACACCCATACATCAACGCGTTCACTTCTCTTCGCTGCCGCCCAAACTCTGCATTGCTCCTGCGCGCCCCTGCTCCTTCTCGCGGCAGAAGTTACAGGTTAAACAAAGACGCGCGTGTTTCTGCGGTCCGGATTCTGCAATCCCTCACTGAACCACGATTCGTTCAAAGCGTCGCGCACCTACCCTTCGAAGGGTAGGGTAGAGTTTATGTCCTTGCCCTACGACGAGCTTTTCCCGCGTCTGTCTACCCTTCGAAGGGTAGGGTAAAGTTTATGTCCTTGCCCTACGACGAGCTTTTCCCGCGTCTGGCGCTGCCTGCATCATCTCTCTCTGGCACGTCTCGTGACCGTGCCGTCGCCTCTCTTATCATTTACTTCGCGGATGTGCACTCGTATATGTGTAGTGTACAGTACTACAGTACTTTGACTGGGGCTCAATCCTGCGCCCCACGGCCCCAATCCTTTCAGCGCTCGCGATATGCAAGTGAATCACCATGCATCTCAGAATGAATCAGGACGAATCTCAGGATCAATCAGGGCGCATCTCGTGCAGTAAATGCACAGAGTGTAGCACTCTACAGTACCCAAGGGTACTGCACAAGGAAACGCTAACTGATTTCATGCGAGGAGAGACTGATAAGATGAAGTGAATCTGTCAGAGAAGACTGTTCGGGTCTTCTATTTTCTCACCCTCTGGTAAGTGGCACAAGGTCATTATCGGAGCATTTTCCTCTATTGTACAACGATCGATGGCACGTGCCTGCGATGTCGGGCTGGCTTTAAGTCAGAGGTCTTCATTCGCTACTGTGTGAGGGAAGGGGGAAAGTATTGACATGCTAGCTCGTGTCACAATCATGCACCGTTCTTCGCCGGACAAACAAGTGCACTTTTATAACACATCACCACATGGATGCCGTCCAATTGTCCAAAACCGACCACGTATGTGGTCCATTCGACGCCCAGGGTATATCCAGGGGGTCCATCCTCCTTTTTCCTCCTCCTCTTCCCGCAGAGCGCTCCATTGCGTGGCGCACCAAACGTGCGCTGATACCAGCAGAGCTACTCGGATGCTTTCAGCTTTGCACCGCTCTCTCCCTCCAATGCACCTTCCGATGCTCTTGCTGTCTTGTCCTTATCTTCATTGACGACCCCGTATTCGAACTGCATCTCGTTCAGAACTCGAGTCAGATCACCCCGCGATATGTTCCCATCTTCATCCCCATCGAGACGCTTCAACGTCTCTGCTACCACCTCATCATCCCGATCTCCGGCAATTACAGCCATCGCGTTAGTGCACTCTTCAAGCGACATCAATCCGTCATTGTCCTTGTCTAATAATTTCATCCGCAGCCCCACCTTCGCATCCACGCGCTCTACTTCCCGCTCAAGCTTGGTCACCATCCTTCTAAACCGCTTCAAATCTGATCCCTCAGTACCTTCCGTTTCTTTGACAAACTGTTCAGCCTCAGCGAGTTCAAGCTTGAGATTCCGCAGTTCCTCTCTTTCTTGTTCTACCGCTGAATCTGAGGATAGCTCCCCAAGAGAGAGTAACAGTTTTCGGATAACGTCCTGTTCTCGTGCCTCCTGCTCTTCGTCTTTTTCTTCTGCCTCTGGTGCTGCAACCGATTCAATTTCTGCTTCCCCAATCTTCGTCACCTCTGACCGACCTGGAACAACTTGTTCCTTTGCTCCAAATATAGCTTCGGCCACTCGCTCTTCATGGCGTTTGACTTTCTCTGCAACCGTCTTGTCAGAAATACTCTCATCTGCCACGCCTTCGGGTGAACCGTTTGCAAGACTTTCCGTCTCCAGACGTTCCGCTTCTTCCTCATCTTCTTTCTTCTTTCTCTTTTCTTCGTCGTCCTTTTCTTTCCTTGCTTCCCGGTCAGATTCAATTTCAATTAGCTTGGCCTGTCTGAGAGTTTCCTCGAGTCGCTCCGCGTTGCTGCCTTCGCTCACGTCCGCCGCCTGCTTAACATCCATAATGATATCGTCTGGTAAAGAACCCAGCGTCTCGACAAGACCTTCCGCCCCAGCGCTTTCGGTCGGATACGAGCCTGTGTACAAAAAGGCCCTTGACAGTATTAAGAGGGACCCCGGGATCTCCTTTTTCTGTGAAAGGTCCAACCATTCGGTTAGCTGGTGGCGCATGCGCACGCTAGACTCCCCCTCCCTGATACCTCGATCGCGGCATGCCTTTGCGATTTCGTCATCCGTGAGCGAAGCCGGACCTCCCTCCCACATGATTTGCATATCATCCCTTTTGATCCCATTTAGTCTCGATCTGAGCTTGAACCTCAAAAACAAGTCATGGCCATACGGAGAAATACCCATGTACTTGCACATAGCTACGAGTTGCGGCCGTACAGCACCATCAATAGTCAACTCATCATTGAAGAATTTAGCGAACCTGGCAACCTCAGCACCATCCACGACCTTGCCAGTCCTGATAGCCTCAAGAAAACCAGCGAGATCTTCAGCGTTCTTTTTAAGTTCCTGTGCACATAGAGTTTGTACAAAAGACAATGTAGAAAGAAGTTAGAACGATCCGCTGTCGAAACGTGTTAGGGACTGCATCCTCAGTCGTCTCATTGGCACGGCCGCATCGAAACTTACAGAACTTGCGTCGGATCCTTTCACTGTTTTGGCCTTCTCCTCCACAACATCTCGTAAGTACTTTGCCAATTCGAGACGAGCTTTAAGTCTTCGCTTCATATCTTCATCAGATTTCATTTGATCTTGAAATTGCGATGGGAGCATGTTCGGGAAGAGTCGCAACGCAAATGGCAACGCAAACTCCGCTAGTGGGATGACGAGAAACAATGAGAATGGCACCAGTCGAGCTAGATCGACACCGGTCTTGACGATGAAATTACGTTCTCTTCTACTAATTTGCTTACCATGGGCAATCCTCTTCAAAACCCTTGAGCTTACTCGAACGTCAGCAGCAAGGAGCTTGGCACCCACCCATAAGTGTTTTGCCCAGTCGATAAGTGCCCATGTCATTTGGACCGAGTATTTCACAGCCTTTCGAGGAGATTTGAGAGCATCCCGCCAGGTGAGCTGGGCATCCTTCACCTTTTCCGCCGTTTGCGTGGTCCGATTAGATGTTTTCGGAGGTTGAGTGGAACTTGAAAAGAGTCGTTTTCGGATTGATCTTCGCTTCTCTACCCCCGAATTCAAGCGGCCTGTGACGTATTTTCGCTGAAAACGCCTTGAGTCGGAATGGCTGTGCGTCGTCGGACCCGTAGAATATCCTCTTCGAATGATACCCCCTCTGTACCCATCCTCATTTTGAGAGTCACTGGATGAGAGAAGGATGCTTTCAGGTGACATAACGTTCGGAATAGATCGCAATTGACATGTCTGAAGAACTTGACTATGAGTCAGCGATTGAGAGGAGAAATCTCTCGCAGCAGCAGAGCCGTAGAGTCTGTGGTCGTGCAGTAGACTGTACAAAAGGCGGTTAAAAATTGCTGGAGCAACCAAAGAAGGAGTTGCTGATGCAGTTGGCGGCAGAGACAAAGTCCTCACTCCAACAACTCGCGTTGCTCGCACAGCGCGAAGCAGGTGAGAAGGTAACATGACCGTTGACTGAGCGCCGAGTTGATAATCGAACAGACCAAGGATGTACGTTTCTTCCAAAGAAGCTCACGAGTAATGCGGTTGCTGTTTCTCTGTCAAGGGAGTAATAAATCCATGTCCAAAAGCTTCAACCGTATGCAGCTGATCGGATACCGCGAAGCGAATTCGGAGGAAATCGATGCTGGAGATGTAATGATTGGCAGATGTGGTGTGGAGGTGATGCTGTCGCCACACACGAAATGCACCATGTACACGTGGACAGCATCGGATCTAAAATCCAATTGTCGCTGTGACATGACCACCCACCAGGGCTCTGTATTTTCCCCGAAGTGCTGGCCGATTTTTAGCAGTCCATGTGCTTCAAAGCCTGTGCATTGTCTCACAGAAAACAAAAACTAGCTGCCCATCTTAGCCGAGAGGGGAAGAGATTTCTTTGTTGTTTTTTTGTTGTTTTTCACAGACCGAAAGAAAGAACAAGAACGTAAATCACTTGTCCGACTTTTCATTCCGCGTATGTTCCTGAAGGCAACTGTTGTTGGCCACTCTCTGTTAGAGTGTTGGATGTGAGAAGACCCTTCTGCTAAGAAATGCGCCTTCAAAATCGCTCAAAGAAAACTTAGCATCCACGGATGCTGTCACCGGAGAGTGAAAGCCTTCCCTGCGCTGACTACTACTAGAATCTATATTCCAACGAAACATTTCCAAGGAGAACATTGCACCATTTCTAGAACATCTTCGACTAAAGAACAGTCTTTCCCCAAAAGGAAAGCCATGTAGGCTCGCTTGGAATCTTTTATGAACGCTCGTGACATGTATGCCAGTCTGAAGCCTGATTTCGGGAATGAATAACTGTTTTGCTGTCCACGCGACACGAGGAGACAGAGGGATGTAATCTTCAGGCGGTGGAACAAAAAGTAGCAATGGCGTTTAGCCGGAGCATACTGTAGTTGCATTTCCATGAAGGAATGGGAATGAAAAAGGCAGAATTCCCCGTGGACTGCCAGCACGTATCTGTTGATTCATAATCTTTTTGCAGTGTTTTTGGGGAGATACCGTACATCCTCAAGTCGCCATGGAAGCACTCCAATTCAATAGCAGAATTCACTAAAATTGCATTTTCCGTTGCATCATTCCAAAGACTCACCCAAAACAGGTTGCGGCTGGCTTCCTATTTCAATTCTCCAAAATAATACTATCTTCCCGCCGACCTCAATGTCACACCCATAACAATGAATATTCCCAAATATTTTAAAATATTTTCACTTTTCGTCGATCTACTGGGGGGTCAATGTCCTGTTCGGCCTTTTCGCCAAGGAACTGGGCAGCAGATAAGCGCCCCCTTGCCCACCACCACTCCACAACTACCCCCACAGGCCGCGAGGGAGAACAGATATACACGCACCTTTCGAAGCTTTCTGCAAGCCCAACCCTTTTTACACAACTCTTCTCACTCATCTTTGCTCAACTACCCGGCAGAGTGCAACTTGCCGTGCCTGTCGTTTCGCCTCGTCGTTTGCGGCCTTTCAACCTTCTCTTGGCCGTATCCGTACTTGTCAACAACTGTTAACCCCTGCCTTTTCGCTTTTAGCCTGAAAAGGAAGCAAGCACCAATATGTCGAACAACCAAGCAGCCATTCTGCTAATGCGACAGCTCAAAGGTGAGTTTACCGTGCTTCCACGGATTTGTCTGACCGTTGTTTCCTTTTACGCCATGTATCCATGGGGACGTTATTACGACGGTGACGAAAACCGTGTCGAACAGAGCAGTCTCACCCATAACTCAGGAAGCTGACCGTGCGCTTTTCTCCTGCTATTTTTTCTGCATCCCGTGTTTCTCCGGCTATGAACCACAACTTTCATGGCATCATCACTCATTGACAATTTCGCAGAGCTCAACAAGAATACGGACTCAGGTTTCTCGGCGGGTCTTGTCGATGATTCGAATCCATTCGAGTGGCAAGTCATTCTCACTGGGCCACCCGATACCTGGTAGTACGTCATGCGCATTTCAATTCTTGTGAACTAGACTCGCACAGGAGCGAATAATATTTCTAACTCGTGCTCTGTGAATGTGAACAACGTTTGCCCCGTATCAGTGATGGGGGGCTCTTCAAAGCCAAACTCTCTTTTCCACCGGACTATCCTTACATGCCACCGACAATGCGTTTCACATCCGATATGTGGCATCCTAACAGTAAGTACTGCTCTTCGATGTTTCGAAAGCTGCATGTGCGTCAGTGAAAATCCAGTTCTCTAACCTTCGACGTCTCATTTTTATGTTGCCATTGCCTACTCCGTCAGTCTATAAGGACGGGAAAGTCTGTATCTCTATCCTGCATGCACCAGGTTCAGACCCCAACCAGTATGAAAACGCTTCGGAACGGTGGCTACCAGTTCACACTGTCGAGTCAATTCTAGTCTCGGTCATATCCATGCTTTCCTGCCCCAACGACGAGAGCGCTGCTAATCTTGACGCGGCGAAGGAATGGAGAGAGACCCCAGACGTCTTCAAGAAGAAAGTGCGTGACACTGTTAGGCGTGCCCAGGAAGACTGGTAGAAGGAAGTAGGACTCTGTCATTGAGATGGTGAATGAACATCGACAATAATGGATTGCCAAAGTTAATACAGCAGCTCGTGTGTCGTGATAACACCCTATTCTGCGAATGACATGGCGAAACCTGCGGGAACGGTGCCATATGCTTTGGAACTCGACAAAGTATTCTTCGGTGTGCGAACCGATCTCGGGGTTCTTGGATGCGAATGGACCCCTTTGTATTCTTGGTGACACTTATCGTAAATAGAGATATTCTAAGGTTCTCTCCTTAACTTGTCGTACACGAATGCTTTGATTAGATTAAAACGTGCGTACAAATCAATGACCAATGTCGACTTCTGCAGATCCAATTGATGCAGTTTTCATCAATCAATCGTAGACAGAGGGCGAAAGGGGTTAGATGTATTGCTCCTTTATTACTGCTGTGACTTACGCAGCTTTGTTTTCAACTTCGCGACTAATTTAGTTGCCACGTTTAACGTCCCAGACAGTTGTTTTCTACAAATTGCGCATGTTGAGTCTTTTGACAACCGGTCTAGTGCACACTGTTCGCAGAAGTAGTGGTGACATATCGTCACGACTGGGTTCTTGAAGTCACCTCGGCAGATATAACATGCGAAGGGGAGCCCATCTTCATCGAGATCTTTTTGCGACTCGTTTCCTTGGGACTCCTCGTCCGGGTTTTCACCCCGTATCACCTTTTCCCTCCTGAGCTTCTCTTTTTCTGCCCAGTCTCGCTCCAACTGCCACCCAGCCTTGTAGTCACTACGATCATGCAAGAACTTGCAGGAGTCACCGAAACCGCAATACCCCGTCTCTTTATAGTCCTTACATATATCTGCCTGATAATCAACGCGTACAGAGGTACGAATGTGAGCGGGTGCCTGCATAGGCCCAAAAGGCTTTTTCCTCTTGTTGTGAGGGTTAGCCTCTCCACCGATGTCTTCCCTCACAGCAGTTGCAATTGCGCTGGGCTCTGATAGTTTTCCATTCGCTGAAAAGTGTGGTCTTTCCCATTCTTTTCTTTTCCTTTTCCCAATTCTGTCCTTTGCAACAAGTTCCAGACCCTGCTTGCCTGTTGCGTCATCGTTCTCTTCAGTACTGACTCTGACTCTCCTGCGCGATGAAGTTCGTGAGCGCTTCTTCAAAATTACCGCGCTTCGCTTTTCGTTTCCCTCCCCCGTCATCGTTTGGTAGAATAAAAAGCTGTTGGTGATTACTCTGGTCAAAGCCAGAAGTCAAAGAGCACACGTTTGATGAGGAAGAAGGGTGAACTCGATATGCACCTGCCATTGGTCTATTACTGTAGACTGTTTCGCAAAAAATGGTATTTTTCTGAAGTGTGAGATCTGTGCACTGCTTTTGAAAGCACTTGAAATCAAGTAGGAGATTCTACCATCTACAGTATCGCCCTTCCCGAAGCAACTAGAAGACTCGTTCGACTTGCAACACCAAACATTCTCGCTGCCGAGCTACGTTTACAGTGCAGAACTTCCTTCAATCCGCCCGAGATGCCAGACGACATCCGTTGGGTTACGTCCATTGGCGCAGCGAGGAAGCAAGTCGTTGCAAATTTACAATTGCAAATCTACAATCGAGCGAAAGTTATCAAAACACATCGAATCTTATTTACTGATGCTAGTCAGGGATCCCGACGCGTCTCTCTTTTCTAGACGGGTGCGATACATGCCGTCCTCCACGCTCGGAGCGCGCAAACTCCACGAACCTCAATAGCTGTGAATAATCGGCGGGAAACTCGACGGCAAGCAGCCGGTTTACAAGAACCGTATTGCCGAGTCTGATAACGCAAACGAAGACTGCCATTAGACGGGATACAAGAGATACAACCCAGGATAGAGACAGGCAACCTTCGGACAGTTGCTACAGGGGGACAGTGTGAGACCGGTCGACATCACTGCGCATATTTCCTGGTCCACTCACGAGCCGTTTCCTCATATCGTTGACGGTTCGTTTTGTAAGTTTGAGCAATTTCCGGCACGAGAGGGTCGTCCGGGTTGGGGTCGGTAAGGAGTGAACAGATAGAAAGTAGGACCTTGGAGACCGTCAGGGCAGGGCTCCACTGGTCCCGAAGAATATCCAGACAAATGCTACCGTTTGAATTGATGTTGGGGTGGTAAATGCGAGTAGTGAAAGAGATTTTCGGCGGCTTGAATGGGTAGTCAGTCGGGAAATGAATAGTCAAGAAATAGACGCCACCAGAGTACGGAGAGTCCGGCTATAGATATTGAAAGAAGCAATGAGGGATAGAAAAACAAACAAGCAAATCAAGAGTTAGTAAACCAAGTTAAAACGCAAGAGGCAAGAGGCTGACAAGGAGACACTGGCTCAAAAAACAGTTTCGCACTGCATACCGGACCCATGATAGTCGCCTGCCAGTGAAACAAGTCATCGCCAGCCTGGATGTTGCAAATAACGAAAGAAGTCAAGCAAAAGAGAGTTACAAAAGCAGCGTAAGTCAGCATAATAGTTAGGTTGATGAAAGCGGAGGCCACTCGAGAGTTGAAATTCATTGAGAAGCACGAAAACAGGCCATCCATTTCATGCACTGGTCTAAAGTCGGAACTGAATCGCGTCAACGACGTACCGGTCCCGCTGAGCAATTGGAAGGGGGATCCTTGCCAAGGTCTTGGAGCTCCTGAAATGGTTCGAAATAAAGGAAGAATCAAGCGAAACGCGAAGAGCGGGTGTCAGCAAGTGCAAATAGGATAGTCCATGTGCGTTCAAAATCCGAGAAATCCATGCGCACAGGTGGTAGGACTGCGGCGGGCGCGATATCACATCACCGGTCACTGCGGAAAGTGGGAGGCAGGGAAACAGAAGGGTGGGACGGACCTTATTGATACGCTTGAGGGCCATGAGAAAATTCGGGATGCTCGGGAAGCGAGCGCGAGAAGAAGATCTGGCTGTGACGTGTTTGTGGCCTTGTTCACGAAGGACGGTACGGAAGTGAGTGTTTTGGGGGAATGGATAGGATGAAGCGCGAGGTGGGGATAGCTGGGTGGGGAAGGGAAGCAAGAGGGGGTGGCAGTAAATGGGTAGGGAGGGAGAAAGGAGATTTTGTCGGGAGGGGACGGGGGTCTGGTGTTGCGTGGGGGGCCGAGTGTTGGCGGGAGGGGCCTGGTGACGAGCGTCAAGAGGGGGCGCGGCAGGGGAAAAGGGCCGTGGAGGCTGGGCAGAATGCGGGAAGAGTTGGCGGTATAGAACGCCGCTCGTGGAGCGAAACAGCTGCGTCGTGATGTGGGGCCGCGCCGTAGTTTTCGCACCCTCTGCTTACACCCTTGGGAAAGTTTCCATTTTTCAACAGTGCAGAGGGCCCACTTTCGTCTTTTCAAATAGCTTTGAAGAGCGTTTTTCATCCGCCGCCAACTTGGGCCTGTGAATAACAACAACAAGGCATTCCATACAGTACCTCCGACGCCGCATCTTGTTTCGTCTTCATTTTTCACCATCTGTTCGGTTTCCGCGGCTACTCCACTGCGGTTGCCGTTCGAGTTGGTCCTCTTTTTCCACAGATGTGGACCCACACGTTGTTGTGATTGGTTTACTTTTCATTTTCATGGGAAACATCACTGGATTTCATGGGAAACATCACTGGATTTTGACACTTCTCCATTCTCCGCGTATCAGGATGAAGCATCTTGGTCAACCTGTTTTTTTCAACAAAAACATTACTATACATAGTAAGGCTAAGGAAGGCTACTACTGTACACCAATAGAAGCGCTGCCACAGTTGGCTTGCCCCTCAAATCAAATCATGACGTATGTATCGTCTCGTACAGTATCGTGGAGTAGAGTAAAACTTTACAAGCGTACAGCTCGCGGTACAGCGCACTACCAATGATGCCCAACGTGTGCCACGTTTGGTCACAGACACGCGCCCCTTTTTGCCTCTGAGCACGCTTAGCCACATCGACGGTTTGTTCTCTCACAGTCAGTTCCGGCATTTCCTTTTAGGGCACACCTCACGAGCACAGAGGCCCTTTTTATACGTTTCCTACTCCTCCTTTAATCCCATCGTCATGTCCCATCCTGCCTTACCGCCAGGCTTCGTCAACCTCCCGGTTTATGCCGAAGGGCAGTCCATCCCCGGCCCTTCCGGCGCGAGCGTCCTCTCGTCCGACGGATTGCGCGCCTTTCACCACATCAATTCCGGCCTCCGTGTGGTCCTCTTCGCCGCCCCAGGTCCGCTGGTCTCCGCCACCATTGTCGTCGGCACGCAGCCGCTTTCCAATGCTGGCCATCCGCACACTCTCGAGCACATTATCTTCCTCGGTTCCCATAACTATCCGCAAAGAGGCTATCTTGACAACCTCGCATGCCGCTGCCTCGCACGGGGAACAAACGCCTGGACGGAGACAGAGTATACCGCATACACTGCAAAGACCGCAGGCTTTCAGGGATTTGCACATTTGCTTCCGGTTTATCTCGATCATATTTTGAGGCCAAAGATCAACGATGCAGCATTTGCTAGCGAGGTCTATCATGTACGTCCGGACGCCAAGGAGGCTGGCGTTGTGTTTTGCGAAATGCAGGCGAGGGAGAATACCGAATCTGATATCTCAGACCGTGCCGTCCGAGCTGCTTTGTTCGAAGGTACACCACTCGCCTTGGAATGTGGTGGCTTGTGTAGTGATATTCGCACTCTAACCAATGAAGATATAGTACAATTTCACCGCACCCAGTATTGCGGTGAAAATGTCACCGTCATCGTCGGAGGCAATGAAATAGACCCGAATGTTCTTCTTAACTCTGTCAAGCCCCTGCTGGACGAAATCTCTTCGGCTCCTGGTTATCAGAGAGGTCATCCGCAATGGAGAACCCCAATTGACCTCAAACCCCTCCCACCTGTGTCCAGGCGCATCATCCCTTTTCCGTGTCCGGATAATGATATGGGGACCGTTATACTAGCATGGCGTGGGCCAGGAATTAATGATCGCCTCACCGCGATAGCTATCGAGGTTTTGCTGTCGTTTTTGGATGCGTACGTGTGGTCTCCTTTGCAACAGGAATTTGTCGAAACAGAGGACCAATTGGCGAGCGAGATCGACTCTTCTATAGATGTATTTCTGGATGTCAGCGCAATTGTCATGTCCTTTTCCGGTGTGCAGCATGTGGAAGACGAAGATGACGACGACGAGGCCGTCGACGACCTGCAGGAAACAGACAACGCGAAGGACTGCGATACCGCGAGTGTGGAGTCAATTGATCAAGAAAAAGAGTCATTTTTAACATCTGGGAGGTTAGAAAGACAGGTGATGGCCTTTTTGTCCGATATCGTAAAGAAGGGGGAGCTTCCTGGAGGACTGTCTGCCATGCAAGCCGCCATTAAGAAGGAAGTCGAGGTCGAACTCACGGAGCTAGAGTCTGATTCACACAGTTCCATACCACATCGTTTGCTTGAGGAGGTCATATATGGGAGCCGTGACTCTCTGACAATTGGGGAGGAGAGCCGCGGTTTCCTCGCGCATTTCGCAGAACTAGAACAGAAGACGGAAGAATATTGGATTGAGTTGCTTTCGCGACTTTTGGTTGAAGCTCCGAGGGTTGAGGTTGTTATGGTGCCAGATACTTCGCTTGCTCAAAATAATGCTGACGACGAACGTACAAGTCAGGTAGAACGTGAGGCCAAGCTGCGAGGCGATGAGGTTTCGATACAAGGGCAGGATGGGAACTGTGCATCACCTCTTGAGTCGTGTAAATTCGCTGCAGACATATTTCCTCCCATTCCGAGCACCCTGACTATTTCTCGATGGCCATACATTGTAACCCGAGGAGGTGCAATGGATTATGGGTGTCAGTCTGTCACACTTGAGACGGATTTTGTTCACTGCAGCATCTTTCTCGACACCTCCAGGCTGAGTATAGCGCAAAGAACGTTCTTACCGGTCCTTTGTGAGCTATTACCAAGCTGTGACATTCTCCTTGAGGACGGGTCATATATAGCATATACCGATCATGCTCGGTCAGTCAGTGAGTTAACTGTTTCTACTGACGGCTCTGGAATTCATATGGGATACAGTAGCGAAATGGCTCACCAATGTACCATTCTTCACTTTGCGGCGATGCCGTCGTCGTTTGCAGACGCTGCTGAGGTCCTTTTCCAAACTTTCTTTTGCAGCGAAGTAACTGCCGAGCGCGTATCAGCCGTATCCCAAACCCTTCACGCCAATGCTGTTACTGATATACGTGATGGCGATGTGGTTCTTGGGGCAGCTGTTCCCATGATTCCTTTCTTGGAGGGTGGTGAAAGATGGAGCAGTCATCTCCCCAACTATACGCTGGCCAATATATTAGGCTCCTTCCCATTACTTTCATTCATGGCAGACGAGTTTACCAAAAAGAAACCGCGGAAACAGGTACAGAGAAAAATTGTACGCCAACTGCGCGACTGCTTGCATTCTTTGCAAGCCCTTCCTGGTTCTGACATTTTCATCCAAGTGACGGCTAGGGATCCAAAACCGGCTCATGAGGTGTTGTCTTCTCTTTGGAAGAAGCACAGAGGTTCTGATGGACGAGACGGCAGTGACCCCAAGCCGTCTGGAAATGGGCCTGCTGCGGGTGAACTTCCACTCTCACGCAGAATCTTTGGGCGCCTCAGCGACGTTTTCCCTGAGAGAAGCATCGCAAAGATTATTGGAATCACTGGTGTTGACAGCACTTCAATCGATATTCGCGTCGACTCTCCAGTATTCATTGGACATGCAGACTGGAGCGCGCTCACTGTATGTACAGAAATGTTGTGCAGGATGGAAGGTCCTCTGTGCACCGCAGTAAGAGGTACTGGACTTGCATATGGGGTACACATTGAGAACTCAAGCTGGCTTGGTCAACTTTCTGCATCTGTGTACGAGTCGTCAAATCCAGCGGCTGCATGGGATGCAGTCTGTGCCTGTTTAGACGCTTTCCGGCAGTCCCTGAACGAGACACATGACGATTCATGCTTGGTTGATTTGGAAACTGCGAAAGCTTCGTTGCTTTACAGTTTGAACAGCAAGAGATCAACGCCGGAGAGGATTGCCGATGGTGCGATTGCTCGCACGGCGCTGGGTGTGCCAGCGGGCCCAATGTCAGACAGAGCTCTAGAGGAGGCTATAGAACGAGTGTCGCTTGACGAAGTTGGAAGCGTTTTCGACAAGCATGTGGCGCGGTTGCGCCAGGAACGCAGTAGATTAGTTGTTGTCACGTGCGGGGCAGGAGTTTCAGAAGATATAGTGGCAGCGTTCAGTCACTGCAAGAACGCAATTCGTTTAGAAAACTGCCCAGTTGAATCTTTACATCCTCGTCAAGTTGTAGAAGTCGTACAGGCTCTCAAGGCAAAGTAAGAGGGGGGCAAACGAGAGCCCGTCGTGATCGCTTCCATGGAGAGTTAAAAGGTTTGATGGCCCACGTTTGTAGCGGGGTTCAAGTTGGACTAACTTCTGTCACTAACTATTGAGAGTGAACAGTAAACACAGAGAACGTTCACATGCAAACTGCAAGAAGACAAACTTGCGAAGATGGTTCTCCTTGCTTCGCGGGCATTTTCTACCTCCAAGCACCATATCACTGCTAGAGTACCTCATTCTGTACGAGTCCCAAGGACATCGCCAAATGCATTCACATCAAGCGAAGCCTGCACTCGAAAAATATGAGTCGGAAAACTCTGAAGCAATGCGATTCTGTGATGCATCGCGGGGCACAGAAACTGAATCCTCTGCGGACAGCACGAGGCAGCAAAGAGACTGGCTCAATTTATTCGCCTTTTCACTAGCATGGATCCAGATATTACTCTGGTGGCGCACGAAACGAGCGTAAAACCTTACGAGCCGAATCTTTTTCTCCACAAAGTAAGAAAACATACGCAGCTGTGAAGGCCGCCTGCTTTCGCACATGTTCAGGAGACTGCTTATTGAGTACTATATTTGCGGCATCACTCGCGGCACGTGACGCCCTGTTCAGGTCCCCACCGCTGACATGAGCTAGTGCCATATTTATACACGCAGCCTCCTTGAAATGGATGTCACTGGATGCCTTCATGCCTCGGAGGTGCCTCAGTCTATCAGCAGCCTCCTCAGACCGGCCAAGTTGGCATAGTGCTTCCGCTGCGTAGAGATGTCCAAGAATTGCTCGGTCGTTTTCTCCGTGGGGAAAAAGTTTTGCTAATTGCTCACAAGCGTCAAGTACAGAGTGAGGATCAAACGATAAGCCCGAGTACGCAAGCAGACATAGAGCTGCGCTGCGCAATGTCATGTCATCTACATTTGAAGCGGACTCAACGATGTCACCCTTTTCTTCCTTGTTTGCATCTGAAATAACAGAATAACGACGCCCTTTTTGGGGACTTGACGCCTGTGTGTCTTGTGTCCCCCTTTTCCGGTCCATAATGGCGATCGCAGCTCTCGCGCAAGTGCAAGCGTATTCCATACCCAGGCTCTCATCCTTCTCGTCTGTGCACATGACCATGCGACGGCCCCTCCCAACTCCCTCTACAGCTAGATACTGGCGCGCTTGATCGTTTTTTGCCTCCATTGCCACGCAGCACTCCGCCATTCGAATCCAAAGCATTGGTGACTCGGATGCCAGCGTGAAATCCCTTCGCGCTGCAATAGTGAGCAGCCCTAGTGCTCTCGCATAGTCTCCAAGTTTCATATACTGCAACGCCAAATTATAGCTGACGTGAGAGTCTTTGGCGGAGCTCAGAATGGACAAGTTCACTTCGGGCTGCTCGTTTGTGTCGCCCGCGCCATCCTTCGTTTCAGCCTCGAAAAGAGCAACAAAAGCCTTCCTCGCATGTTCAAAATAGCACGCCGCAAGCGCATGTCGGCCTAATTTGTGATGGAGAACTCCCAAACTGTTCAAAGCAAGGGGTCGAATCTTCTTCTTGATGTGCGGAGGGGACTGGTTTCCCACGCTTGCCAGAATTTTCAGTCCCTTCGACTCACTCTGCTCAACACGCGCCTTGACAAGCAAGGCCGCAGCTGTCGGCCTACTGTCGGTATCATCGGCTGCGAGTACGGCGCTTTTCGCTTCCTTCCTAATGTTCTTCGGTGAATCGCTATTCGCACTGAGTCGTGCGTTGTAGATATGCATGCAGAACTTTGCCTCTTCGTATGAAGCTGGTGATTCCAAAATGGCCTTTTCCCTGCCAGGCCAGTTCGGCGCGAGTTGTGGTATCTCAGACAGCTCTGTGTTTTCATCCCCCGATGAGCGAGTAAACGACGGAATAAGTCGCTCCGAGTACGCGGCAACAGCACTAGCTTCTTCCACATGACCTTGCCTCAGGTGCACATCAGCCAAGAGAAAGCACGTTTTCAGAGCAAGCCAGTCATCCAGCGCCTCGACATTCGAATACAAAAGTCCGCCAAGCACAGCAGCAGATGGGAGATAACCTTCAACATACGCTATTACAGCGACGTTATACAGTGCCACCGGTCCAACATTAGCGTAGAGGGGCTTTAGGATGCTCGGATCGGTGGCAACTTCTTTGAAGAAAGTAGTTTTTGAAAGCTTGGGGCCGTCCCCAGCACCGGAGAGATTTTGCGCCACGAATTCGACAAGAGCGTCTAACTGGGACTGATTTCGTTTTGAATAGAAACGGGAGACGAGGAGATTGTGTTGCACGCGTGGGTCGGACATGCCATCCAAGTGCAATTGGGTAACGGCAGCTTCTGCAGCCGGAAAGTCACCCGACAGGAATGCCGTGAGGGCGTCCGCCGTCATCTTACATGCGTATTGGCCTGTTCGATGAAGATAAGGGTAAAGATGGAAGCGAGACCGGACAGATCCACGGTGCTAAGACGCTAAAGATGATGAAGGGCAGAGTAGGTTTGTGAGTGAGTTAGAGGGGAGCAAATATGGTGAACAGTGGCCCCTCACTCTCACAGTTTTCCAAGGTACAGTAAACTTTACCCAAGGGTACACTACTGTACACAATCAAAAAATGGGAAGCAATGGGCAAAATTTCCATTCCATATTTCGACGGAAATGTGTATTTGGTGGAGATAGCGTTTGCAGAACCGTAGTTCTTCAATTCTCGCCACCGAATTTGATTCCTTCCGTTTGCGTTCCTGGAAGGCACTGTCCATGTTCACATGCAATGGAGGTAGTTGGGGTGAAACCACTTGACGAGGGTGGGCTTGGTCTGGTTCGTCTTCCAAAATATCCCTTCAAAAAAGCGGGAACGCGAAGTTTATTCATAAATGCGAAGCATCGTGCGCGAAGCAATCATCTCTCCTTCCTTTTGCACGTCACTGTTCCGTTATCCAGGCATAGCCATCACGGTCAACCTAATAATTGCCATCGGCAGAATTTGAAGATCAATACCAAATCCCTTGCCGACAAGTCTCTTCCTTTTATTTTTGTCACTTTCCTCCAATGGTTCCAAGCGCGGGATGGTGTAGGCCTACCAAATGACTAACCACGTAGAACGAAATCAGGCCTGTGCCGAGCTTTGCGAAGCGCCATCGACGATATCAACCTCTGACAGACGAACCGGGCGCCCCTCAGCGTATGACTTAGCAGCAGCCATGGCGGCGACGATTGGGGCACGTCCATCAGCGCCAGTGACTGAAGGCGCGGTTCCGTCACGGATCATTTCAACAAAAGCGGCCATGACGCCAGTGTAAGCGGCAGCATACCTATCCATGAAGAACGAGTACGGCAAAGCATTGGCGATGGAGCTGTCGGTGCTGAGCTCGACGGTGTGCGGGGCGCGGTTCTGGCTGGACAAAGCACCCTTGGAGCCGAAGACCTCGATTCGCTGATCGTATCCATAGGCGCAGCGACGAGAGTTTCCAATAGTTCCGAACGAGCCGTTGGACATCTTGAGGGTGACAAGCACCGTGTCGAGATCATTGGCCTCCTGGGCGGCTTCCTCGAAAGCCTTGCCTGTGACGAAGACTTCCTCGATTTCTCCGCCGGTGCAGAATCGGGCCTGATCGAAATCGTGGCTCATCATGTCCAAAAAGATGCCACCAGAGTTGGCGAGATACTCAGCCGGAGGCGGGGCGGGATCACGCGAGTTGATCTGGAACATGCGGACCTCGCCAATGGCGCCGGCCTGGACCTGCTCGCGGACCTGCTGGAAGTTGCCGTCGAAACGCCTCTGAAAGCCGATGAGCAGACGTGCATTAGTCTTTTCGACCACGTCGAGACACTTGTCGATGGTGGCAAGATCGTTGGAGATGGGTTTTTCGCACATGATAGCCTTGCCGGCTTCGGCAGACTTGATGATCTGCTCGGCGTGGAAGGGGGTGGGCGAGCCGATGACGATACCTTGGATGTTGTCGTCAGCAATCATGTCCTCCCAGTTTGGGGTCCAATTAGCGCCGAAATCGGCGGCGGCTTTCTTGCCGAACTTCTCGAACGGATCGGCAATGGTGACGACCTCGGCACCTTGCATGCCCGAAATGGCCTTGGCGTGGACTTGGCCAATGCGGCCGGCTCCGATGATGCCGACCTTGACGGTTTCGGGGGCGGTAGCGAGGCCGCGGCGCATGCCGAGGGAGGCGGCGCGGGCGAGCATGGAGGAGACCATCGATGTGGGGGGTTTGGAGACAAAAAGTTGATCAGAGACGGGGTGAAGAGAAGGAACAGGAAGGGTGCTACTGATATGATAGTGCCAATATAAAGATAGAGAGGGTGGGCGAGGCGGGAATGCAATGAAAAAGGGTTTACGGTGGAGAGCGGCTCTGAACCGCTCAGTTCGGTTGGATCACGTGGTGGAAATGAAGCGTGAGATTGTGCCCAACAATGCGTCGGCATACAGTACAACTACAGTACTGTACTTTGCACGATACTGGGTTCCTTACACCACCCGCCCTAACAACTTTACATAAACTTATCGCCCCTTCACCACAACTTTTTCATCACAAACCACATTATACAAACCACCACGACCACCACTCCCACAGGCGCATACTGCCGCACCACGCGCATGCGATTGGCGTGCTTCGCTTGTGCCGCGTACCGCTTCGATTCCTGCGCCAGCCGCGTAGACTTCTGCGCCACGTTGTCCAAACGCTCGCCTCTAGAAATCACCTCATTTATATTTCTCGTCATGATCGAGTGCACGTCCTTGAGTTCCGAATTAAGCTTTTGTAGATTACGCTGCGTCTTGGAGTCGTTATACACCTTTTTTGTCTTCTGGATAAATGTATCGAACCGAATGAACTCATACGGGCGGCTGGCGCCCGCAACCTGATTGCCATAGATTTGAAAAAATTCCTTGCGCAGCTCGTCCAGGTAATCAAACGCCAGCCGCTTGGGGTACGCCCGCTCCGTCAGCGTCAGGATGCACACGCCGCATGAGAGAACGTAGTGAAAGCAAAAATGAGGCCCCGATTCTACTGTCACGTACTCATCGCCCACACCGGCTTTTTCCGCGCCAGACGAGGCGAGAGAGCGTATTAACTTCTTCGCTTGACGCTCGTACGTTTCGAGCTGCAATACATGATGCAAAAGTTAGTCAATTGCGAGTGCGAGTGTGTGTTGATGGGCACCGGGTGCAGGCACGCAGACGTACCTCGCGAGCATAGGCGTCGTTCTCGTCGGCCATGGAGGCCGTTAGCGGAAGGCCATCCGAGAGCCGTGCCAGCAGGGTGACTTTCGGCATGCTGGAAACAACGGCCGGTTTGGCGAGAGGCGTGGATGAGGAAGGGGGCAAGCGCGAAGTGTAGCCAGACTGGTGGTGGGGCGGAGGGGAGGAGGCCTTTTGACATGAAGAGCGCATGACTGAGCAGCAACAACGGGACAGCGGCCATAACTGCGGGCGTAGGAATTATTGCGTCTGTAATGCTCCAGATGTCGCACGTGTCTGTAAATGGGTCATTCCTTTTCGGCCAGCGAGGAACTTCTAGAAACGGGCACTGCCTGAATTTCGGGTTGCTTTTGCAGGGCTTTCGTTTTGATCCGCCACACCCTCGGATCCGTACAATTTTCCGGTCTTTTCTAATACACCTCTGCATTATATGCCAGCCCCTTCTCTCTCGGCCCCCTCCCTCCGACCGTATCACTGCTTCTCTTCGCCCTCACCGACCTTCGAGCCTCCTGCCTCACCAAAACCGCATCCACCGACCCCCTCCTCGCCCTCACCCCACTCACCGTATTACCTCGATCCTAACATCTCCATGGATAAGCCTGTCGCCACCACCGATGCCGATGGAGAGGTCGAAGACTTTTCCAAGTCCGGCGACCTCACGGGCGATGGTGGCGTCATCAAGGAAATTCTCCAACAGGGAGTCCAGGGCTGGGAGAAGCCAGAGAATGGTGACGATATCCAGATGCACTATCGCGGTACTCTGCTAGACGGCACGACGTTTGATTCCTCTTACGACCGCGGCACACCGTTTTCCTTCAAGCTCGGCGATGGCAAGGTCATCAGAGGGTGGGATGTCGTCGGCAAGACGATGGCCAAAGGCGAGAAGGCAAAGGTCACCCTCAAACCTGAGTACGCCTACGGAGCCGCTGGCAGCCCGCCCAAAATCCCTGAGAATGCCATCCTCGTCTTTGAAATGGAGCTGCTGTCCTGGACAAGCAAAAGAGACGTCTTTGGAGACGGCACTGTCATTAAGACAGAGATCAGCCCTGGTACAGGATGGGAGCGCCCCGGAAGTCTTGCAGAGGCCACTCTCGCCGTCTCGGCCACCCACATGAATGAGAACGCTCGCGACGAGCTCGCCAAACTTCACGAGGGCGAGGTCATCTTCACGTTTGGCGGCAAACAGGTCCCAGAAGCCTGGGAGAAGGTCGTTAAGGACATGAAGAAGGACACCGAAGTCAGCCTCATCTGCCGCCCGCCACATACCACGGGGCCCTCGGTGGACTATGTCCCTGCCGACGCCAAGTGCGTCAAGTTCGGTCTCAAACTACTGTCGTGGCGCAAGATCGAGGACATTCATAGCGATGGCAAGCTCGTGAAGAAGGTTTTGCAAGAAGGCGACGGGTGGGAGAGGCCCAACGAGGGTTCCACCGTCACCGTCACGGCCAAATATATGCTCCCGGACACCACATCATCGCTACTCGTACCGCCGCCGGCGGGAGGAGACGCTGTTGTGGTTGAAGACCTGGAGTTCAAGGTGGGTGATGGCGTTGTTATTGATGCGCTTGATCGAGTCGTACAGTCGATGAAGGTCAATGAGTCAGCTATTGTTGCAGTTGCCCCAGAACATGCGTTTGGAAGTGCCGTCGGGTTGCTGACTGAGGAATTCACCGCTAAGGGCTTCAAAGCAGACAGCAAAATACTTATTGACCTCAAGATGACCAAGTTTGAAAAAGCCAAAGATGTCTGGAGTATGTCGTTTGAGGAGAAGGTCGAAGAAATGAACATTCGTAAGGAACGAGGCAACGATTTGTTCAAGTCTGGACGATACGCCACAGCGAAAAAGTCGTACGACCGAGCGGTGGCTTTCTTTGACTCTCCTACTTCGGAACTGAGCCCGGAACTGAAAGCCAAAGTCAACGAATTGCTCGTTAAATGCCATCTTAATCTGGCAGTTTGTTTAAACAAACTTGGGGATATCCAGCAGGTAATGGTACACTGCAAGAAGGCCCTAGAAATCCAACCTTCGAACGATAAAGCGCTATACCGCCAGGGCTGCGCATACCTTGCCTTGGACGATTACGACAATGCAAAGCTGAGTTTGAAGTACGCATTGGAGCTGTCCCCTAAGAACGCGGACATTCAGAGAAAGTTAAGGGAATTGAAGGAGAAGCGATCTAAGCAGGATGCCCAGGACAAGAAGCTCTACTCGAACCTCTTCGGTAGAATGAGGAAATTGGAAGAGCAGGAGCATCAAGGCGCGGGCAGCAACGGCCTTCCCAACCCAACTGAGATGAAACCAGAAGGGATCGTCTCCGACGCTGAGATGAAAGAAGCGCCAGCGGAGCCAGTGAAGGCCCAGTAGTCTTCAGTCAGGGTGACACTCCTGTAACACTCGAACTACAGCTTAAATACGCTGCCCTTTTTTGGCATTGAAGTTGTTACGTCCGTCCTGTTGGGTTTCGAGCCAGCTCTCTGTGGTAGGAAGATCTAGATTGAAGTTGAGAACATGGGCAGGGGCATGTGCAAAGCAAGCAGCGCCTGAATACAAAGCCTTATCGCACTCTGGCTCGTAGAATCATGAAGAGAGCCCAAAACAGATTGCGAATGCGACTCCTCCAGCGGCAGCGTCTTTAGCGCTGAATGCTCGTGCAACATCACTTTGCCGTCTTGAGTGTACAAAGCAGATTACCTAATACATAACCCTTCCGGTGGCAACCGTGAACATACTATATTGCCGTAGTATACCCCTGCGGAAAATCATTAGTAAAACCAGCTCCTAAGCTTGCACTCAAGAATATTTATTACACAGCGACAATGACGACAAGCAGCAACAAACCCCCTATTCAACGCTCTTCGGTTGCCATTTCTTCGACCTGCCCCTCAGCCAAACAGTTGTCGCAAGTGCGGCGAGAAGCCCCATCATCGCGTTGGCACTTGCTTGCACCACAAGAATGTCAACAGGCTGCACTATACCGCTTCCCGGAGCCACACCCGCGGCACCTGCTCCCATCTGATACGATGCGTACGGAGTAGTCGCTACTCCAGAGCTCAACAAACGCGCAAGCAAGGTGCCTACGATGGCCTGCAGACCCGTCAGTGACACGATCATCCCTACAATTGCAATCCCCAGACCTATTCTCAACTTTCGGTTGATTCGCGTTTGAGCGACCTGAGGGGTTCGATTTGTGGAGACTCGATCGCCGGAGAGCCACAAGGAAAGCCTCGTATAACTGTACGTCCAGAAGAGACTCACAAACGCAAATAGCACGCCCACCCCCGTTACAATGAAACCTAGAGCTGATGCTGAAGTTTTCACATTGACACCCGGGAACGCAAACGAAAAGATAAGAATCACACCTGACACGACCGTCAAAATAAGCTGCAACCACCAAGTCATCCAACCGATACGCCAGAACGCCCTTGCTGCCTTCTTGAAGTCCATCCCGTTATCTGGAGCTACAACCTCTGTTACTGGCTTGAGCTCTTCCCCTTCACGATTGAATAACGGTTGATTCATATCGTTCGCAGTTTCTAAGCTTGACTGAACCACGCCGGAATTTGAGTTTCGACTTTCGCGACGCGCGTTAAGCTTTTCGAACAGCACTTCCGGACCCTCCTTCGGTTCAGAATCAGAGTCCCCTGCTTTTACGGGATTTTCAATGCGCTCGAGTGGTTCGGGGTCGGGATACAACTTATCGGAGCTTGCAACGGGAAGGCGCCGAAAGGCGATTTTTCTGGGCCTTCTCTGTGAGAGTATGGCATGCCTGCGTCCAGCATTCAAAAAAGCCAAGCCCGGTGAGCTCAAGAATGCAACCCCTGCTTTCATATCTCTCCTTTTCTTTTCACAGCCTCACAGCTGATGAACGCGAGGTCTTGTCGAACCCCTGAACCTGTGCTCCGCGCGGTGTGTTGTCTCGTCGGCTGTGTGAAGTGATGCAGTGCAGTGACAACAGAGAGCGGATCTCCAATTCCACGAAAGGAGACTGGACACCTGAAGGAAGAGTAGCTTGTTTTCAAGTGTCGGCCTTGTCGCTTGAAAAAGGTACGGATGCAACGACAGGCAGCTCAAAATTAATGTCGTCAACGGTTTTGTCAGGGCAACGAATCCAGTGCCTCCGAGGTGAAGATCACAATACTGTAACTCAAATAATTAGGCAATACAGGGGGGGGGACGCGCAATAGTGCCGCTTTCATTATTGCCACCCTCGAATTAGTGCCGCCAAAACCGGCAGACACAGGTTCTGCCACGTGTCATGCACGACGTCGTCATCGGCCACTCCTCATGCGCCTCAGCTCAATTGGTGATGTGATGGCACCTCACTCAAAGACCCTAACATGAATCCTGAAAAGATCGCCAAAGCGAAGCGTACGCGCCTTACGACTACACAAAAAGTCGAGGTTGGGCATCTGCTGCAGGTCGGAAAGTTGGTCGAAATGAAACAGAAATTGATAAATCTATGGTGGATGGTATAGTAGGGTTTCTCTCCCGACTGAGCCTGGTGCCAGAAGACGGCCTTGCAGAAACTGCAGAATTCTGCAGGAAAGATGTGGAGGAATGGATTGAGATCGAGACTAATGAGCTTGTGGCAGAAGCTTCTATTAGTGATGCTTGCGATTCAATACATTATGGTGGAGAGCTACAGAATCAGTCTGCCAGTAATGCTATGATGGATGATTGTGTGGCAGAAGGCGAGTGTGAAATTACGGAGAGGCGAGCCGTACAGAATGCTGTAGTGCTAGCAAGGTTGTTTGGGTCTTTGGAGTCTGGGTGTGGAGTGCGATGTGAGCAATGCCTTGTCGCACTTGAGGTCCACAAAACGAGCTTTTCTAGAAGCTAGAGGCATGAGAGACAGGGTCAGGCAACAACAGCAGACTCTAATAACAGAGTTCTGGCCGGGTAGTGATTCTGCTTTCTGATAGTGCCGCTCCGAATTAGTGCCGTATTATTAGTCCCTACACAGGGCGGCACTAATGCGTAGGGGTCGACTGTAATGGATTTTAAAAAAAGCATGCACCGTGCTGTACCCAAGGGTACAATACAGTATACTGTACCGTATCCAGCGTGCCGTTTCCGGAAATCGAAATAAAGAGATATGTGTGCGTGTCTTCTCCAGCTTGTGTTTCCGTAGGATCATGGTTTTAAATTTGCCAAGCTACATGCACTTCTCTTTGGCTCGGCTAGTCCACAGGGCGACCGCAGTTGGGCGGGAGCGAATATTTGCCACCGTCGAGTTCCGCAAAGTTTGTATCTATAAAGGTGTCAGCTGTATAGGCTCCTGCACTTCTCCTTTCGATCAACTGGTTTGAAACTCCTTGGCAATCCAACCCACGTACCTGGCCCAGACCGAAAACGAAAAGCTTTACTTTTAACATGTGCGTTTTGAAGAGGCCTGCGAAAATGCATCTTCACTTAAATAACTACTAGACCACCGCACAGCACGCGCTTCTGGTTCTGCTTCATAAAGGCTGGAGAACCTTCGAAATCTATGACTCAAAATATCTCTTGCATCATTTCAAAATAGAGATCGACGTACTCATCGCGAGACGCATTCCCCTTGTACTCTTTAAACCTCTTTAGAATAGCCCTGTAACCTCCATACTCTGTCGATCCCAGTATGCGTACAACCAAACTGCGGTTGGGACGAAAGTCGTTCACCATGTAGTCTCTGTCGTGCCGCCCCGTCACTGTATCAATCTTTTTGCTATGACAGGAATAGAGAATAAGTCTGCTCCTTTTTTGAGATTCGTGCTATTATCTTCCGTGATATTCACGTGGGAAGAAGCATGAATTATGTTTCCGTCCAGTACCATTCAGCTTTTCCCGAATGAAAACCGTTCGCTACATTTCTTCTTGTCGTGCTTGATTACCACTGGGCATGACTTTTCCTCCCAAGCAGAGTAAATTGGAATGGCGGTTACCAAATCTCTCTTGCATGACCGTCTCTCGCAATTTCTTCATAGCGCATGCCCTCTTAACTCTCATGACGAAACATCAAGGTAAATTTACATCAACGATTCACTGTAGTGTCCAAATTGATACACTCTTGCCTAGAAGTAGTGAGGAATATTGAGCACTCAAGGATTGCACCGGAGCACTGTAAATGATTCTACTTGATGAAGGACGGTCCACAACGTAATAGAAAACAATACTGCGTAGAAACTACGGCCGGGGTGTTAGAAGATGAGCATTCAGTGCGGTAGACATTTACCATAGAAGATAGTGTAGTATGAGGTCTTTGAATCATTTCTGGGATTCTGGTGGACCGCCTCTGCACGCTACGCGAACGTGCGTTCATAGAAGGGGTATAAACGGTGTACTGTACGTCGCATCTTTTGAGTATAAAGGATTCTTTCAGAGTAAGGCACAGTCTAATTCGACGTCCACCGGCTTGCCTTTCGGAACAGTAGTTTAGTACGTCGGAACAGTTCGGTCGAACTGCGGAGTTTTGCCGCATGAAGCTGCACCTCTCGGTACCATTCTAAGAGGTAGATCCAGGATCGAGCATAGAGAAATACAGTTAGGCCTGTTGGGAATGCAAAGGAGTTTTACTGTTCTTTATTTCTTGACAGAACCATTGGGCATATTTCCGAAACACTTCCCTGCGTTTATCGTAGCACGCGTACGTAATTCAGGCGTCCACCTTTCGCGAGCAAATGCCCTCGATTCGCGACATGTTTTGGGTTGCAGCGTAGCAGGCAGACAGATGAAATATAAGTATTACGCTTTCCGTTAACGAGGACCCTAGACACTTTCACATTCGCCCAGGACTACAGAATCTCATGGGCAATCGAGCAGATTGTCACGTTGCTCTCCTTCTGCTATGCCCACTAATGCATGACTCTGTTCTGTATCCTATTCTCTTATCTCTTACAACATTCCAAAGAGGCAATAGATCTCATTTTGTAATTCCGGGTGGTGGAGGTCCTGAAGAACTCCGGTAGTTGCGGAACGGGAGCTTAAGATAAAAAGTTGCTATATCCACAGAAAATTTGACGTCACCAGTATCGCCCTTGCAGAAGTGATACTTTCCCTTCATGTTTCCTACAACACTCTGCCCACCCTTCAATGATACGGTAACTGGACAGGCAGAGTTATATTCAAAGCTCTCGCCAGGCTCCAAAACAGGTTGTCTCCCGACCACTCCAGGCCCCTTCACTTCGCTCTCCGACCCACCCGAACTATTAATGGTCCAATGTCGCGACACAAGCTGGCAAGTCTCATTACCCTCATTCGTTATTGTCACCTTATATCCAAACAGAAAGCGGCTTTGCTCCGGAAGGCTTTGTTCTGGCATGTAATAACTCTCCACATGGACCACAATGCCTGCCGTCTTTGTTTTCGACCAGCTCTCCACGTCTTCAGGCTTCAAGTCAGCCATGGATGTGTCCTCGCACGCCGTACTAGCCACTGTCTCCCCTCGCAACATCGCAATTCCCGGCGGCGGTTCAAGCACCTTGAGCACGTCTCGCAATCGCGCGGCTTCTGCGAAGCGCTCTTCCTGTACTGCTTTTTCCATTTCCTTTTCTGTTCGCACGTAATCATCTGCGAGGGACAACGACTCGATTTGGTCACGTAGACGAGCGGCATCTGCGAAGCGCTCGGCGTTGACGGCGACAGTGAGGCTTTTCTTCAGCGCTTCTACTTCGCGCCACAAGGCTACTCGAGCCTCGCGTGCCCCTGACAAATCAGAAGATTTGCTCTCGTTAACTTTCACGTTGCCTGACTCTGATGAGCAAATGATTACCGTCGGGCATGTGAGCGGACGCGCTTGTGGACGCCGAGCGCACGATGATAGTCGTCTTCCGGGTGCTGTGAAGGAGCTTTGAGATAAAGTGACCAAAGGGGAGATGAAGGCCATGATTGCAAAAAGGGTGGGACGAAAAGCTCAGCCGGTGGGGTGGGGCAGAGTGAGGGGTACGAGGAGTGCGCAGAAACAGAAATGCTTACCGGTAACGTTTGAGGGCGCTGTTCTCACGCTCAGGGAGGGGCCACAATTCGCTACCATCGGGCGGCGGAACGAAGTCGTGAATGGGACGAGCACGGCACCAAAGACGTGTGGCAGGCCCCACGTGTACATCTTCGCCCCATTGAGATGTGATTTTTTCAACTAGGGAAATAGATGCCGCCGGATGCAACCGTCTATTGCAAGCATGAGATTTTTTTGGATACGGAAGCCTTCCTGCGACACAATTGGTCTCTATAGACACGTGTCGATTTATGAGAGGCTCTAAAGGCGCGCAGTCAATGTTATCTGCAAATGGGAAAGGAGCGCAAAGCCTTTTTGATCCTTGATATTCGTACTTTATATGACACGTGGCGCTTCATTATTGAATGCTGAGATACACGCCTTTTCGGACCTCAGTCCATCAGGTCGAGCGATTACACACACATTCGGTGGCCACATTTTGTATTGTACATGTGTACAAAGATGAAGGGCGACACTGTGAAGGTAACATGAGGCATCTGAATGTTGCTGCCGCTAACCCGCATCTGCAGTCCCACAACGGAGGGGAATCATGACATCAAGAGATACTTGGTCGAATAGAAAACTGCGCGAGTGACCGCAGTGGGTTGTTCAGTACAGTCGCATGAATATGTCAGCAAGCGCATTGAGTGAGTCGTAATCGGCAAGTCTGAAACACGCAACGTCATCTCAACCCGTGAACGGACTTCTGTGCGCCCGCTGTCAAAGCTGATACGTTAAGTCAGGTCGATTTTGAAACGGCGCTTAATCCGGTTCATTTCTTTTTTTCTGGATATCCTCGTAGTACTACACGTGATGCTCGGAATCTTTCTGAAATCACTTCACTTAAATTATCCCGTTAGAAGCTGAAGACCAAGAGTGCCCTCTACACGTGATCCCCAGAAGACAGGCATTGATGGATGCCTGCCAAAGGAATGACCTTGTGTTCCTCCTGTTCGTCCTTCTATTGCAGTTCCCGGGACGAGTGCTTCCGAGAGGACTAGTCTGGAGTGAATAAGTGTTCTGTCCTTATTCTCTTCTTCTGTCCAGGCGAGACCATGGCTATTTAATTACTTGCCGTAGATGCTAGAGTATACTTCCACGCCGTCCGGGTACCGCAGACCGTGGAAGGTGAAGTTGTGTACGTTTGTAATATACAAAAATCCTAACGATTAGATACAAACAGTGCCAATCTTGCGCATCGTATACATAATATTCCCTGTCTGATATAGGGAAATAATCTGTGCCCAATTTCCAGTGCCGTTCGAGCGAGTCGTTAACGAGCCCTGAGCATGTGACCGGCTACGAGCAGTGCGTCACAGGCGCACCACCTTCTTCGCTTTAAGTTTCAGCATCATACTAAACTACATCAGGTTTTCTCGCGAGATTAAGAACTGTTCAATGCAGGACACAAACTTGCGCATCCCGAAGCATCTACGTGGTGGCTTCGTGATGCTCTGTACTGAAGTTTGTGAATTGTTGTCAAGCATAACCCATTGACGATAAGGCACGTCCTTGCCGGGCTAAAGGCGCCCCTGTTCCAATCCGCACAGTACTTGCCCTGCCCCACACATTCCCTTAAATCATGTCATGGCCTCTCGTAACGACCGCCTCGTGGCAGTATTTGTCCGTGTAGTTGCATGGGTGTGCGGCACATTCGTGAAGACATTTCCACTTGGATGGAGAATGGAACTGCTCGATAGGTACAGCAGTCCCAGCGGTACTTCTTTCAGATATTGCGTCTTCAGAGACCTGATGGAACATGTCATTGAAAATCTGGTCGCGCAATAGTTCTAAAAAGTGCTTACCCTGTGGCTCTTTGACTCTATTTCTAACTGAGATGGCGTGTACAAAAACCTACTCTTGTTTTGCCACGCATAGCGTACCAGCAACACAGTTGAATGGCTAGCACGCCCGCTGCGGCATTAACATCGTCCAGTTCCAGTTAGCTTTGTGACGAGTATAGCAGCTCAACTGTGTAGTATTTCTGTAAAATTTCCGCTGGTTACACCAGCGGAAAGTATACCGACAAGGCATCATCAATGCATGCATGTTCTTGGGTCAAGGTAAAAAAAATGCTTCCGGCCGACAAGGGCTTAACCCATCCAGCCATGTCTACGCACACTGTACACCGTGACAGTCTATGAACGACTGTCAATTCTTGCCGGTAGGGCAGCTCTGGACTGCTCCACCTCGGGGCAACCCTACTCCTCTCCCTGATATCGATGTGGATTGATGAAGTCGACAATACTTGACCTCATCAGCTCGCGCACGCAATGCTTCATAGCGTTGGTGTACCATTTACAGGTACTGGGTATGCCACTTTTCGGAGTGCGAACATTGTTACTCCAAAATAAGACACTTTTGCGTGTGCTGTGACGCTCAGGCACATTGAACGAAACGCACATTGAAGATGCTGTTGAAAATATCTCACCCCCTATGTCGTGTTTGAACACTTGAGCCGCACTGCACAACAAAAAAAGATGACACGCAGGTGGAATTGCATGCAGTTAAAATTGAACGAACCGGTCCGGTGGCACAGTCCCTTACCAAGAGGAATGAATACGCACAATGGAGGCTACGCTACACGTTATGGGCCAGTGTCGTATAGAGGCGAGCCCATAAATCTCAATGAACCTCTCGCAGTGATAAGGCGATAGAACGCCATTTGATATGGGAATAAGAGAGTGGAAGAGCCGCAATATCGCAAAGGTGAAATGGCTGCACTGGAGAATCAAGAGCAGTAATGATATACCGTACAGTGCAGTACTCGTACATTACACACATTCAAAGGAAAACAACTCTTAGTCTGATTGACCTGCAATGGTACAGCGCTCTGTTTGGATCTGTACACACGGCACGAGAGTGGAGGTGAGAGGAAGTTCAAAAGCTTGCACTAGGTGAAAGCAACGCCACTGTCGTCTTGCTACTTCCTGTAGGCGGCCAAGATGATGTTTGCCTTGTGCAATATACTCCACCCTTCAAGTGAAGCATGTGGGGGCTAAACGGTTCGTTCTCTGAAAAATGCTTGTATCCATTCGAATATATGTGGGCATGATAGGATACTGCCGAAAGCGATGCTAGTGCAAACAAGGGTGCAACGAATATATTTAGACGTTATCCATAACACCACAAGTACAACTTTTTCCCATAAAAAGGAAGGCCTTGCAAGAGGTTTGTCATACAGTTAAAACACAGCCCATGTTGGCCATGAAAGTCAAGTTGTTCAAGTTCTGTAGATGATCGCATGTCATTGTAATAAGGCGTAACATCAAGCATCAGAAGAAACCCTGTTGGTGAAAGGAGGCGGCTGCATAGAAGATTCAGGATGAATGGTTTCCGTTCAAGGAGTATAATATCCTCCAGAGAAGAGCATCACAAAAGACCTAAAATAGTAGATATATAAGATATATGAGCAGTACACCTGATCACAGCAATTAACCTTGGTCTATATATTAACCTGGGTTCAGAAATAAACTGGACCAGGTTATTATTGGTTTTGACTTGGAGGAAACAGTCTTATGATAAGTCGCATTTAGAGTTCAAAAAGGGCGAGAACGCATGTCGCCGCCTCGATATGGTCTTTGGGAGGAGAAGCAGCTCTTTTCTGGGCTGCAGACAATAATATCCAAGCATCGTGTCCATTTCAATGGGCAAGAAGTGGAGCCGTAATTTCTTGAATACTTGTCAGCAATGTTAGAAATCAAGGTTAATCCAGTGGTTCACAAACAAACTGGACCATGTTATATCTGATTTGACCGTATATTAATCTGGGTTCACAATTAATCCGGACCATGTTAAATATGGTTATAGACCTGAAAAAGGGGCTTCAGAATTAAGTTGGCCCAGGTTAATTGCTGTGATCAGTGTACCTGCCTAGTAACTCTCGGGACTTGAAATGCGATTGGGCCTTTAGCAATGCGTGTGAAGATCGTCTGGCGCGCGTTGAGTACAACATTGGGCTTCCATTGTATCTGGTCATATCGAGCAGTAATTGATGTCTGCAAAAATAGGGCTATTGTCAACAATTTTAACCGCTACGCGAATTGTTGCAGAAACAAAGCCCAAAAGAGCAAGGATTGCAACAGCTGAGATGATGATCACACATGATCGATACGTCGCGCATGATTCGGGACTCATGTTTATCTGTCGGTGTCCAGACCGGTCTACCACTCACTCACCAGAGCTGAGTTCTACAGGCATGAGTGAAGGGAGCGTGAATGCTTACAAAAACAAATGTTGACTAGTGTGGTGTCTATCCAACCGGGGCTTGTTCTCATAATATGAGAAAAAATGAGCTGTCCTCATATTATGAGGACAGCTCTTTTTTTGCAAAAATTATACTAAATTGAACTTTTACATATCTACCTTAGACACTATTTCCCTAACGTACTTGTTTTCGGGGATAACATCTTGCAGAACACCGGGATAGCAGCTTTAAATACGCAGAAATATTAAAAATGTAATGCAGATTGAGTACAGAGTTTCCATTTTGAACTGACTTTTTTGGTTTCCAAGTTATTTTACACGCAGTTTAAAGGTGATTTAAAAAAGCTTCTTTTCCAGACATATATCTAAAAACGACCAGGAAGAACATGCAATTCTCACAAAGTTCTTTCTGTCCCCAAGTCAGAAGTCAATTACGGTGGCGAGGGTATCTCTTCTTTCTTGTCGAGGAAGCGCACGTCAGAATAAATTAGGTGGAATAGTGTCCTCACAACGGTCCAATACACACCACGGGTTTTCTTTTTGACTATTCCTTGATTCAGTATGTACAAATCAGTGTGGGTGTTCTCTCACTTTCCCTAAAAAAGGGAGTGCTCACACTTTGCAAGGGAGAAGGGGCGGCAATTGTTTGTCGTCTCGAGAGTGAGATTCTTTCGGTTTCGTGTTTTTGCGCAATGCGGTGGGCTCAGGGTATATGTACTTGAAAAACGACCGCTGAGCTGATGAAGGAGTTTGCATGGTTGACAGTTTGGAGGCTTGAAAACTGAGAACTTTGTCTTTCGCGACCTTTCTTTATTTAGCGAATATCCAACTACCCGTGCTTTGTGGTACAGTAGCAGACGGTCTATTTGCGGGGAACTAAAGCGGCCAATCGTAATCTGCAACGATCTACTGTACCCAGCAAAAATGAAAAAATGTATATATATATATACTGTATGGTAGGCTGTATGGTAGGCTCGCGACAACGGATATATTGCGTGCGGACAGGACAGGAAGTGACATCATGCCATTCACAGACGGTAAATTACAGCTTTTGTTCCCCACCAAAGCGCAATCGTTCCAACAGCGATACCCTTCGGTAGATGAGTGTACAGCCGACGGCTGTACAGTATTTGATGCAAAGTCTCTACAGTATGAATATCACAGACTTAACCTATCCAGTCCAAGCGTGACACTTGTCCCTAGATATCTGTCGATATGAGATAGCATTCGCAACAATAGTCATTGAATAAAGCATTTACATCATGAATATCTCTCGCCTGAACTGCATCATAACTGACAAACCGCGACCATGTACGCGTCAATGTACACTGTGTGTAATACACACTGTGTATAGGGGTGAAGCTCCACGGGAAATAGCACGCGTCTGTAAGCACTTACTGACAGCCGGGCGTCTCGCTGTACCCGCCTCGCCGCCGACCCATAAGTAGTAGAAGCGAGCTGTCCTATCCCGCTACCTCTCCTATCCCGCTACCTCTCCTCCCCATGTCTATTTCTCTCCCACCCATCCCCGGCACTGCCGCCCTCGTGTCGTGTCTCCTTTTTCATCATGTCTTTTTCTCTTTCTTTGTTTTCCTTTTGAATCTTTCGTCCTTTTTAATGTTTGATTCGTCCTGTTCTACAGTAGCGCTACTATAGCATGTTGGATCCTGTTTAGCTGATGTCCCACTGACCATCAACCATCGTAAAACTACGAATATCTTCACGTAGGTACGATGTATTGCACTGTAGCGGATACTGCGGGGTGCATGTGTGATTGCAGGGATGCAGAAATGAAGAGAATCTAGCTAGTGTGAGATATTTGTGGTGTACTGGGGAATGCAGCATGCCAAGTTGTCAGTTGTGGGGTCAGTATGAAAGAAATGAGGGTAATAATATATGAAATATTATTTCAAAGCATTCGCCACGGCATCTCAAAGCCCCTCTCGCGCGAAGCTAGTGTAAGCAGGCGCATGGCTCTCGCAAGGCGCGCATACCGCTCAGCGACTTCGCGCTGAAAATCGGCTTCATCAAGAAAAACCGAAGAAGGGAAACCGCACGCACTCTCTTGGGCCCATGTCCTATCGCTTTTGTCGAGAGAATGAGTCGAGCCTCTCTTCGACACCGCTAGACGTCAAGGTCATACTGTAGTCTATCACGGACCCGTACTCACCGTGTGTGACTAGAAGCTGATGGCAGCAAGGCAAGCCTTTTTTTTCGAATTTGTTCATGGGTCTCCGGAGTGTAATTATGAATGAAGAAGAGCATCTGCCTTGAGAGCAGAACGTTTGCGTGTTTTATTCCACATCTGCGTTTGCGTGCGGACCGATGGACAAGAAAAAGTCCACGTGGAGATTCCGGGGGAGCCAGTGCTAGCAATCTGCGAGTGGTAGGATCTTTTTGATATATGAGAGGGCCAGGGATACAGCTCCGCCGTGTCCACCCTCGGTGGTACATGGGGCCGTGCGGTAAGGCTCATTTCAGTTAGGCCACACTCGGTTCAAAGCGCCCTTTTCCAGTTGCCACCATCCCCTCACGTGGACACGTGTCCCTGAACTGTATTGAGCTCCGGCATATCAAACTATGAAAAGGGATCATGTGCGACGTCTGCTCAAGCTGGAAAATACCCACTGTCCCATGGAGCCGATTGAAGAGAAGATGAACTGTAGGAACGATTGCATGGAGATGGCGTGGAAATTTTTGAGGATGGCGATGTCGGAGTTCGTGCAGAACCGTTTCCATCAAGGACGGCGATTTGAATATTTTAGAGAGATTCTAGCAGCGGAGTTATTCTGCATTGTTCCTGAAGCAAGTCTGTATCTTCAGAAAGCGAAGAAAATACTGCTAGATGCGAAGAGCAAGCCTAGTACTGTAGTATCGGTACTCAGCAGCATTTGATCTTTTGAAATGGGTGTGGAGGAAGGAACGAAGGTAAAGGGAGCAAAGACTCTCTCTATACAAGGCGCCTTTTTTGCTTTCGGCAAGAGTATGCCTTACTGCGCATGCATGCCTCTTGTTCACTTGACCCGTACTACCCCCAGCGGGATCTCCCTGGTTGTAAATAAACGTTTTTATCATACGAGATATGCACCGTGACTTAAATACACTATCCCATTGGTTCTAGTCCCCTTTTTGTCGAAAATATTTTTGAAGAAAAAGAGTTTTCGTCAGGACCATCTCAGACACTCCCACGTCTTCTATTTTTGGCTATACAGAGTAAACCCTCGTTATACTGACCCCATTTGTGGCGGGTGCGGAGGAGGGCCAAAGTACACATTAACGAGGGTGCACTGTACCTTTTAGTGTAAGCCGCTGTAAGCCTACTTACACCCACGAAATCAGCCCATCTTAAGGGGGCCAGGTACGATGGACTCGGCCTTCTTTTGCCCAGCAGACAGGTATGAGAGGCGCAGTGCTGCCTACAACGAACCGTACCGAAAGTAACCAAAATTATACAAATCTTGAGGCTTCACCGGGCTCCCAAGTGCACTCTACCGAGGCTTCCACTGTATAGTATGGGTACACTACGATCGAGGGAAACCTTCGATTCTGGCCCATATGGGCATATGTGGCGGGCAATTCTGGCCGAAAGTGCACTATAGCGAGGGAATCCCTGTATCGTGGGGTCACTATAACGAGGGTTTACTCTGTATAGACATCTATAGAACGCTGTACAGTGCAAGTCTGTGACTTTACAGTCGCGCACCTATATTACGCCTCATCGACCATTTTTCTTTGTTAAAACAAAAACAAAAAACAACAGCAGGTAAGGTACTACAGTACAGCAACCGAGCTGAAAAACACCACCTTCATACTTTTTGCATCTGCCTTGAGAACGAGAGTCAAGCGATACTCTTCACTCTCATTCTCGTGGTTTGTTAACGCTCGCCTCTCTAGCGCTCTTCGCAAGCATCAGAGCGGCGTGATTGTGTGCCCGTGTGATTTCCCTCATGTTATGTTTTCCCACAAGCATCCCGTCCCTCACAACAGCCTTTCCGTCCACCATAACGTAGTCTGCCCTCAAGTCCCCGCCATTTCCCAGCACTAAAGCGCTTAGCACCGCAGCATTGCTGTGAAACGCTCCAGCAAACGACGGTGCGTCTAGACGCCAACCAACCAGATCTCCGCACATTCCCGCGCGAATCACCCCCACGTCCGTCCGTCCCAGCACCGCAGCCCCACCTGATGTCGCCATTTTCAGAACCTCCACCGCAGAAAGCGCATTTGCTTTTTCCGCCTTCACTCGTGCGAGCATGAGCGCCATTCGCGCCTCAGACAATAGATTCCCAGAGTCGTTGCTCGCAGAACCGTCCACTCCCATCCCTACCTTCACCTTCTTGTCAAGCATATCGCATACAGGTGCTATCCCTGATGCCAACCGACAGTTGGATACAGGGCAGTGCGCAACACCGAGTCCCCGCTCTGCAAAGTATTTCATCGCCTCATCACTTTTGTCCTCGTCCAATTTTACGCAATGCGCAAACCAACAATCTTTCTGGTTCCAACCGCAATCATCCAGATACTCTGTAAGACTCTTCTGCACACTAGTCTTCATAAATTGCATATCTGATGAATTTTCCGCCAGGTGAGTATGCAGCATCACGTTTTGATATTCCCGTGCCAATGCCGCTGATTTCTTCATCAGGGTTTCAGATGCCGAAAATGGAGAGCACGGTGCAAGTGCAATGCGGATCATTGCCCCATCGTGTGAGTCGTGGTACATCTCGATGAGTCGTCTCATATCCTGCAACACGTCTTCTTCTTTCTCCACCAGCACGTCCGGTGGAAGTCCACCGTCGCTCTGTCCTACTGTGACAGCACCGCGGCATGGCATGAAGCGTATCCCTAATTCCTGAGCCGCCGAGATGGTGTCATCGAGCTCGACACCGTTCGGATAAAGATACAGCATATCTGTTGTCAGCGTACATCCGGATAGCAAAAGCTCAGCTATGGCAAACTTGGATGATTTTTTAATCATCTCCGGAGTGAGATGCTGCCACAGGGGATACAAAGTTTGAAGCCACTCAAAGAGCTGCGACTCACGAGCCATGCATTTTGTGAGACTCTGGTACATATGGTGGTGGGTGTTGATTAAACCAGGCGTGACTAGGCGATTGCTCATGTCCTCGATGACGTGGTCAGTCCTAAGCAATGAAGCAGGGATGCTGTCATGATCGCCCAGCCATTGAATAATTCCGTTGTCTATAAAGATAGATACTCCTGAGTGGACTGACTCATCTTCTCCTGTCCAAAGCACCGCGATATCCTTGAGCAAGACTTTTCGTGGTCTTGTAGTGGTTGAGTTGCCAGACTTTGCTTCCATTTCTGTCTTTCCGCCTTGTGGACCGTTTGATTGAGTTATTGGTGGAAGGCGAGTGAGTTCCTCACCTGATGAATGAATGGGAGGTGGCTCTACACTGAAAGGTGCGCGTTTGCGAGAGGAAGCGAAGCCACAGACCATTTTGTCGTGATTTCGAGGGAGGGGGGGGGGGGGGGGGGGGTAGAATTGTGAAAGGGGCAGAGGTGTGGCCATATGGCCCGTGCAAAAGGCTTAAGTGAGGGTTAAGTCGAAGAGAAAGGATGATTGCATGCCAGAACGAAGAGTCCAAAACAAACCAATTCACTCAGGCTCGAGGTTAGGAAGAGCAACAAGAGCCCATCGACAGACTCGAAAATTCGTGAAGAGATGAAGTATGATGTGAATTGGGGTGGTGGGGTTTGATTGAGGCTTCTGTTGAGGGGGCAGATTATGGACTTGAGGCCAAACGTAAAGAGACGTGTGCGGGGGATGTTTCTGTGAATGTCCCAATTGGAGAAGGCTCATTCATTGAGGTGAAACGGGATGTTTGTTGAGTATGACCAGACGACTAGAGATTTTTGTTCATTTTTCGAGTGACGGGCGACGGTTCATGTGGGATGCTGGCTCATGCTCTCTTTGTCAGTGCTGCGTCCCGGCAAAATGACCTATCGCGACCGTGTCGTGCAATGTCATTCTACGTATGACTCATTGTTTTGGAGCTGCCTTCGCAATGACGCAAATCCTGCCTTCATCGACCAACCAGGGCCCCATGCCATATCAAATCGCGATCTGTACATGGACACATGGAACGACGAACCCCTGATCGTCTCATTCCTCCTTGACTTGTTGCACCTGCCAGCGTTCGCTCCCTGTAGATCACTTCGCGATTGCCACATAAAAAAATCTCGTGCATTGCACAAAAATCGAAAGCAAAGAACTACCCTTGGTATGTAGTACTGAAGTTCACTTGAGATAGCGCACATAATCCGAAGAATTGAATCTCTATGGTACAGCCGTTCGAAATGGCTCCACTGTTGAAAACAGAATGCGAGGCTGGGAGATGTCTTTCTCTCGCTGTGAAGAGCCCGTGTCTACGAACTCTCCTGAGGCCGATACGAGGCAGAGGGTGGCAAGAGCGAGGTGAGAGATGCGTGAAGAAAGACATGTTCAAAATAAACGACACCGTTGCTCTCACGAGTCATGCATGTGAAGTGACTATACTGTATATGATGCGATTTCATATAGCGACCGCGACCAATCGCTCGTTAGTTCAGGGCTTAGCCTAGCTGGTTTCTCTCGATTTTTTGCGGTGAGTCACCGTAGTGCACAGCATGTATGAGAAGCTACGCAGGAATATGAATTATATCAGCTGGCACATCAAAACATGATGAACGTCTTCTTTGAGAGACAAACTTGCGCGAGTTTGAAATACAGTACCCAAGGGTATTCCTCGCAATCCAGCACAAGAGATGCGATCATCCTTTTGCTTCTATTTCAATGTCGTCCTGCGCTCTGTACAAGCATTCGTTTTGCATCCATTTTCCGCGAACGCGACCCCCTTTCGCAAAAGGGCATGGTACAATACCGTCCTGAAGGGCTAGAATTGTCATACTTTTCCGTACAGCACATCTTTTCTTCACCTTGCGTGTGGCAGTACAACCAGCAACACAGTCTAGTGTATAGTGACTGTTAGCGGTTGCGCTTAAACAAGCGACAGGATACACTACTGAACTATCTGAAACGGCAATCTCAAGCCCGCAATAAAAGTCTACAGCGCATACTGACAGTTGGGATCGATCGAGCAAGTGATATATTGGGTGAGCGATGGCTAAGTTGAAGCAGGCAGAAGTTAGATTATTCAGGATGTTTTGGAGCTGTGAAGTATAGAAGTTTTCTACGAACCGATTACACATGACCTTCCAGAACGCAAAGCGTAAGAACATCAGACCTGCTGCAGCTACTCTAATTTTAAAATTTCGCGGAAATATTGACCGTTGTTCGACTGTAGTTACTGTGGCTACAAGCTCTGTCCATACTGCACATCAGGCGTATAATATTTTCAGCGCATTCATGCTTACGTAAAAAGCCTGCATGTCAATCCACACTATCGAGTGAAAACACGTCCAGCAATTCACGGTGATTCTTGCTGAGCCTGGACCGACGCCTTTCTCCCTTGCCTCGCAGACTCTCTGTCAAAATCGACAATGTCTTGCAGGGTTGGCCTGTTTAGAATCTCCCAAGTTTTGCCCTATATTGAAGTTAAAAATACGTGTAGAGCCGCACGCACTACGGGTACGCGGACATTGTCTGCAGATCTGACGGAAACTCACCGCGTCCTAGTCGCCAATATTCATGTGCAAACCACAAGAAACCTTACAGAACACTAAATATCTGATGGTCGTCCTGATAAAACGTAGGAAATCACAACTCCATGGTCTGTTATCATTACTTGTCGATTTTTAGGAATTTGTGGTTATTAATTACTGCATTCTCCTGAGATTCCAGGAGATGGCAGCAATTCTACTGCACTGAACTACTCTGCAACAAACCCGAAAACGCATTATATTTCATTTACTTCGGAATACAATATAATGTCATTTGGTCGTTTCCCTGTTTAGCTCCGTGGTTATTTTTACAAGACTGTGTATCCTCTGTATTCTGTAATTACAGTACCGTACTGTACTGGTACTAATAATAAACATTCATTATTACTGGTAATAATGAATGATAAACCGAAAGTGGCACTCGCTCTGCAACGGTTTGTGTACGAGCCTCGCGCAATCCCAAGGGAGACAGTCGCCCAGTACATTTTTAAGGGTTCATGTTCATTATGAAAGGTTGCGGATCAACTAAGTTTGCCCACATGCAGAAACCGTGCAGTGCTTGCCACTCGGCAATAACCATGACCTTGAAAGGGAATAAAAAGGAAATCCTGGGTTTGAATGGTGGATCTAATGCAGGATCAGTACCTGATGAGGGACGATACGGAAGCAAATCTAAACCTGTCCTATATCGATACAGGGCTCTGTAGTAGCAGGTACAGTGCAAAAGGCTTAATGCGCCCCATGACACCAGGTGCGACTACTCACAGTCAGTCGGTTGCAGAGAGGCGAAATGCAAAACGCGCAAAGTGATTTCCCCACTGTAGTTGCAGCAAGTGCCGTCGGAAGCATCGATCATTAAACTTCCTTTCAGCCCAGAACTGATGCCGGGGGAGATCTAAACTAGCCCGGGCTCACTATGTGAATTACATGGGCGTGAAAACGAGCGACAGCGGAGACGAGAAGTGATTTGAGGTATGGATCCCAAAGTTGCTTTCCAATCTAAACATTGTTGTGCTCCGATTCAAAGTGAACCTGTCGCTATTGTACTATCTGAGTAGCAAACTGATTACGCAGAAAAATGGTTCCTGGTGGGACCTATCGGAAACTGTAGGCGTTGACAGCAAATTCTGACGCAACACGTGGCAACCCACGTCGCATCGCTGTTTTTTACTTTACAGAGCACTCAATCATTCTCGATCTTTCCGCATATGCACTTTCATCTCTTGCATCTGACTCGGCTCTACTGTAATGTCATGTTGGAGCTGAGAGTCAGATGCAAGCTCATGTAAAACCTGACCCCTGCTGTTCAGAAGAGATTCTGTCCATCCGTCAACCTTGCAAGCATAGGTGCATCGCTTTCCACACATACGTACATTTTTCAACACGTGCTGCACAGTGCAGTGCCCTTGCTGTTTGTGCCAAGCCGACCTCACTGACCCTTTCTGTACATCATTATGATTCAGCGGTGTCGTCGTTCAGTTGTCCGTTCCTCTATCGCAAAGGTTCCTCCACTCCTCACTTGTACCGGATGGCTTTCAAAATAGACGAAGTCCTTGCGAATCTCTACCTATTCCGTTCTTCTCAACAAAACTGTGGTTGTCATGAAACGGTGATTTGACGAAATCGACTGAAAAATATTTCGGATTCCTTCTGGAGTCGCAAACAACCTCTTCCGTCCTTTTTCCTTGGATTCAAATATTGTACTAAAGTTAGACTAGCCTACAGTAGTACAGTTGTGAACGTCGCCGAATTGATAGTCGATAGACGAACGTGATGAAGCGTAATCGTTCATTTCTATTTCCGTCTTAATTCGCTTGCAAATCACATTTTTGCTGACGAACGGCCGGTTAACAAGTGTACTTAATCGCGAGACCCAACAGTAAAACGAGGGAGAGGACAGAGGAGTGTCCACCCCGGAGTGTGCCAACCTTGACTGTTATTTGGGATGCTAATACTCTTCGCCACTGCCAACGACGCCCCTGACCTCCAATATGGCTACATATAATTCATCGATACCAGCACTGCAGTAGTGTACTGATTTGGAACATCAGATAAATATATTCTGAAACCTTCCTCCACAATACTGCGTTGGGATCGCATTGCGTGTTTTAGGCAGGACAACGGCTCATGACTGTTAACATGCTTGACGAATTACCAGTCCAAAGATCGCATGAGATACCCATTCTTTGTAATAGATGGTACAATTTTGATGTCGGCCCCCTGCTGGACAAGCAACTATTTTTGCAGTCTTCTGGTGTATCGCCAGTGCCTACACTAGTTTCTACTCGAACTTTTCGTTTCTTACTACAAAAGATTTCAAGAAGAGCAAAGGTACTAAAGGGAAATAAAACCGCGGACATCAATGTTGAAATATGATGGACGCAGGGAGGTTAGTAATTTTTATTGACGTCTGGTCGTGCGCGTGATCGGTATAGTAAATACAAGCGACCGAATAGGCGAAGACAAGTTGAACGGGTACTAAAGTGATCCCTCTGAGTGCTTCGGTGGTCTGCCCCTCCCGTATTGTCGAATTTACTGTCAACCTCAAATAAAAAATTCCATAGTAAGCTAAACGGGAACTACCGTGTACCGAGGCGCCGCCCTCCTGAAATCGCAGAATTGCGGCTAAATCGAGCCCTAATATTACCGTGAACCACATACCCCTCATTGGAGCGCCAACGCCGTCGGCAATCTAGGAAG